AATATGTTGAATGTTGGGAGAAATAGATAATCACTCCATCCAACATGAACTCAGGTTTGGATTGCTTCTAGATTCTATATTTCCCAGCTTGGTCCGCAATCGACTTGTTATAGCAACACTTTAGGAATCTTTAAAGTCACAGGGACAGGGAGATGCGTGACCGTCATGACCCATCCCCAGTTGTTCCAGACCTCTGATTCGGTTGGTGGGCTGCTTGTTGCGACGGATTCGCTTTTGGCGACTCAGCCTGACATTTCGGGGTTAATTTCGGATGCTGTGTGGAAAGCCGCGCATGCTGCGGTGCATTCAGGAAGCACCATCAGAGCCACAGCCGGTGATGGATTGGTTCTGGCTGTGCCTCCTTGGAAAACAAAGGGACTCCTTTGTGGAAGCACACACTTTCTCTGGTGCGCTCCTGCCATTGTGCAAGTAGCAGCACTGTTTTGCATCTTCAGTGGCTGCCAATTCGCTAGATGCGAAATTATGGCGCAGATGGCTGCTTAACATGCTCTGGAATCTATATACTTGTGTTACACCCCGCCACTGACAAGCGGCTAGTCCAGCACATTTGTCGAAATTCAACATGGTAATTTTTCGCACCACAGATTCAGATCGTATCTATAGTTTGATGTACCATCCGGTAATCAAACACCGTTCTTGCTGGAAAACATTTTTTATACTTGATTTTGCTATCAACCTGTTTTTTACAGAGGATTTTCACTGGCCCCATGTTGCCAGAGGGTACATCCCATTGTATCCCCACATATCCCCATGAATATTCCATGATATTCCCATTGTATCTCCAGTTAAACACCAGCTGCCCCGAAGGGGGCCACTGTGGACAAGTCCAATCCAGCCGACTTCCGACACCGTTCGGGCAAAGTCCAGCGTTGAAGAAAATAATGGGCACTGTAGAAGTTGGTGAATTGCATGGTTTATGTTAGATATAGCCTATATGATGATTAGCGGATAGCTCTTGTTGCAATTTTTGGTGGTGAAATTCTGAAAAGCCTCTGGGTTTTTGTTTTTTGCGCTCGTAAAGGACAGTCAGTTTCGCATCCTGCAGAAGTTTCGTCGAATCTCTGGTTTTTGTGAAGATCTCATAGTAAACCGCCCATAGTTTGATGGTTGATACCACCCATGTATGATAATTTTTGGGATGGTGAATCCTATTAATTCTATTGCTCTACCATGGAACGGACAAAAACCGAGCCTTCGAATCCAAGCATTGCGAACAACGCCACCATCCACTTTGATGGCTTCAGGGAACTCAACAAAAACAGGGCCAATTTTAGAACTCGAATTCAGATTTTTCAGGATTTCTATGGATTTCTTAAATATTTTCCATCAGCTGGCAGATCGCCCTTCCCATACCTCTGCTGCCATGTCTTTGCCCTTTGGTGCTACCCGGTGGCTTGGTGACTTTGGGCGGCTGGAGATCCGATCGGTCATTTTTTGCCACAAAAAATGGGTTCGGAAGTCTGATGGGACACAAAAAGATCATCTGGGATATATAACAATCCTATAGTTGGATAATATGGGATATATAACTATAGATATGTATAACAATCATAAATCTATATATATATATGTATATAGTTGGACTTACCCAAATAGGTAGCTTCTAACAACAGTCACCATGAAAGCCAGAAGCCTGCCAGATGAAGTGGTCCATCGTGGGGCCAACGAGTCTGCGAGTCATCGCGACTGGTTGGGGGCCACATAACTCCAGCTGAATTCGAACTGGTTTATGGTACGCAAATAACGAACTAGTTGGTACTATATATGGCTTGTGGTTTTTAACTCCAAAAACTATTGTTTATGGTACGCAAATAACGAACATTCGTTACTGGGGTGAATCTAAACCAACTTAGAACATCTTAGAGGGCACCACATTGTAGTATCCTCTAGGGTTATCAGTGAATGGTTGGGAATAATCCCTGCATCAGCTTTATGATCTATTGTGACCAAAACGAAGATGTGGCAGCGAACATGGAACATGCAGCCAAACATTTAGGTGCGAATCATTCTGCATGAAGAGATCTGCATTGAAACAAAAAAATTGGTTTCCAAAAAAACTCATAGACAATTTCTGTAGCATGTTACAACCACCAAAACAGTATCTTTTTATAGTGATTTGGTATTTTTTAAGCCAGTTCACATCTTAGTTCTTGTTGGGGAAACCACACTTTTCCAAAGCCAAATTTCGATCCCTATTTTGGATGGCAGACCCTCCATGACTCAAACCACATGCAAAAAAGGGTCAGTTGGGTTCTAGGCAATGATGATCCTACATAATCGATAGATATATATATATATTATACACGATATATACATATATAACGTAATGTACTGTATTATAGACAGAACACTATATACATACATATATATATACACATAATCATAATGATGCAATACTACACCCTCCAGCAATCTACCCTGGCAATAGGTCCTAATCAGTTTCGCCAATTTTTCCACAGGTAAACCCTCTGCAATCGATGGGTGAATTGCTAGATTAGATTTATTATTATGGTGTCGTTTATCCACTCGTTTCTTTACTTCTTATGTATGCAGAAACAATGCGAAAAATCAGTATCATTGAATTAATAAACACATACTGTAAATTCATCAATAATCAATCAGTCAATCAATCAATCATTCAATCAAATCAAATCACATCAAATCAAATCAATCAAATCAGTCAAATCAATCAAATCAATCAAATCAATAGAATCAATCAAATCAATAGAATCAAGCAAATCAATCAAATCAATCAAATCAAACCAATCAAGCCGATCAAATCAATCAAATCAATCAAAGCAATCAAAGCAATCAAATCAATCAAATCAATACATAAATCAAATGAACCAAATGCATCAAATGAATCAAATGAATCAAATGAATCAAATCAATCATATCAATCAAATCGATCAAATCAATCAAATCAATCAAATCAATCAAATCAAACAAATCAATCAATCAAATCAATCAAATTAAACAAACAAATCAATCAATCAATCAATCAATCAATCAATCAATCAATTGTTCAGTCAGTCAGTCAATCAATGAATCAACCAACCAATCAGTGCTTTTATTTTCTGTTTTTATTTTACAGGGCCTACCACCCTTCAATTTTCATCAAAAAACATCTACTAAGTTCTATACAAATGGTGAAACAAGACAGGTTTTCCCATGTTTCCCACATATTTCCAATGATTTTCATATCATTTCTTCTATTTCCTCCGGGAGCTTTCGACATTTTGTCAGGATTTTGGGGTGATGTTCCACACATTTTCCCCAGGACGTTCACATTTTCCCAGGTTCACGCCCATTGAATCGGGCTTGGGTGGGATGATGATCGGAGCATCCGCGGCCATGGCCTATTTGATCGATGGTAAGATCACTGGCATCAGCGGTGCGAAGCGGTGGATGCGGAAAATATGGGATAATCACCTAGCTCAATGGAGCTTTAAGTAGGAAAAAACATGAGAACATATGGATTTAGTGGGAGTTGATGGGAATTTTCATGGGACTTTATAGGATATCAAACTTGTCCAGCTGGGAAATCCCCTGTAAATACGTATATTAGAGGTTTTTACATTTTAATGGGAAGATCATCGAATTGAATGGTGGATTTTCAGCCGGCCACATTGATTACCGGAGGGTGGGATTATTCACCAGTACACGAGACCTTGAAAGGAATGCCAGACCCTGTGGAACCTGCGCGGGAGGGGCTCCAAGCAACTTTTTCATAGACCACCTTGGGTTCAAATCTGTTTATCACAATTATACACACATATATACATATACTGGTTGGTTGTTTGGAACATGAATTTTATTTTTCCAGATATTGGGAATTTCATAACCCCAACTGACTCATATTTTTCAGAGGGGTAGGGCTCAACCACCAACCAGTATAACATGTCATAGATCAATGGGGATATTCCATAGAATTCCATAACTGGGGATTGTTGGGGATATGCATGGTATAATATACATACAAATATATCTATCTATCTATCAATCTAGCTATCTATCAATCAATCAATCTATCTATCTGTCTGTCTGTCTGTCTATCTGTCTATCTGTCTATCTGTCTATCTGTCTATCTGTCTATCTGTCTACCTGTTTGTCTGTCTATCTGTCTGTCTATCTGTCTATCTGTCTATCTGTCTATCTGTCTGTCTATCTGTCTGTCTGTCTGTCTAGAGATGTCTTCCCCGCAGGGATCATGGGCCCCTTCTTCCGCGGTGTCTTGAAGTGCGACCCTGTGAAGGTTGGGGCGGCGCCGCTGGGCCGCTGGTGGGGAAAAGAACACGGAAAAAACGGGGGTCTACCCAGAGTTATGGCATGTTATGGCCGGAAAGTAAGGGAAAGTGATGATGAAGTGGATTTCAGAGATGAAATATCTGACAAGTTATATAATTAGCTACTAGTTTCAGTGCTAATATGAGTTACATTTTTTCATGGTTATTGGTGATTTTCCATGGCACAGCCCATATGTTCAGATCCATTTTTCGGAGACATGTGAAGTTTTCACTACGTCTTGGGCTTCGTTTCTGGGCGACAGAAGTCTTTTCAGCAGTTTCATCTTCCTTACATAGTTGGGAACTAAAAAACACCTATGAACCCAATATGTTTTGGATAATTTTTGGCGGATGAACATCCATTTGCCAAGTATTTTGAGATGAATTTCAGGGCACATAGACCAATCATAAACCTAGCGGTTCTATCCTGCAGATGTTTTCCTTCAACCCATTTTGGTGCGTAGCTCCAGAGGGCCAGGGGTTATGGGTAGCTATGGTGATAGTTCCAATCAGTTGTGGGCCACCCAAAAATAGGGTCAAATCGATCCACCTTTCAACTGGAACTGTGCCCCCAAGTGGGGGCAAGTGATTTGTCTGGCTCCTCTGTTCCTCTTTTTTTTTGAAACGGGACATCATGAAGAGGACAGCCGAATTCCTTGGAAGTTCCTATCAAGGTGGAGAATTGGTGATGAGTCTCACGTGGAAAATATGTTCGTTGTGAAACAAATTTTGGGGATGGATCAAGATCTGGGAACATCACACTCCCAAAATATTGAAACACGAATTGATTGGTGTGTTTTTTTTGATGAGCCTCCATTTAGCATCTAAATAAGGGGTTCACCAGGGGATTAGCAGTTTTCCCTGGAAAAAGCCCGGGCCAAATTTCAATGGGAGAGCAAAGCATGGGTTTCAATACTACAGTGGTCGCATTTTGGATGAGCCGGTACCTTCAAAGGATTTTTTTCAGTGATCTAATTCCTAGTCGCGATGATATTCCCATGATGTCTTCATGAAATATCCACATGATTTAATGATCCCATAAAAGTGATTATATCATATTATTAATATCCCATCACTACAAAAAAAATATATCTTTTTGGATTTTTGAATCCCCATGGATTTTTCATCCGATTTCACCACTTTTTTTGGTCTCGGAAGAACCACACATCCGAGTCCCGCAGGATGCACAACTCTGGAAGCTCCTGTTTCTCACCGGCCGCTGGGATCGCTGGGGCAACAAAAACCCTTGATTTTTTCCAACAGATCTGGGGATGGCTCTGAAACCTTAGTCATTGGGTTGGTTTAAGGGAAAATCTTAACCGGAAACCATGGTTTTTACCATCAAATATAGGGTTTTCCTGTAAATTTTCCCATCATCCAATTCTATGACTTAGGGGTCAGAACCAATCATTGGAAAACACCCTATTGGTGAAGGATGCCGATTTTTGTGGATGGTGATTTTGATGGTGAATTCTACGATAGCTATAGACGTCTGAGACTGAAAAACCTGCCGGACGTTTTGGCAACAGCAAGCGGCTACTCAGCTACTCGTCACTGTAGAACTCTGTAGATTCGTCCCTTTCCCACTGGTTCATTGGTACATGGCTCACCCAGATTGTTCACAGCCAATACCCTCTGGAAAACTAACATAACTATGGAAAATCACCATTTTCAATGAGAAAATCCACTATGTCTATGGTCATTTTCAAGTTCGCAAACTCTTAGTCATTACCATTTTGGGTAGCTGATCATCATGATGAGAGACATCCTCAAACCTCACCGGATCGTTTTTTTGTGGCCGGAGCCTCTAGGACTGGTCTTGGGCGGCTTAATCGACTTGGCCTTCAACTGGCAGTTCTCCTTCCCCCGAGCACCGCCGATGCACATCGCTCGTTACCTCCTGGCAGGCCACCCATGGGAAACTTTGGAAACTTCAGATCTGTTTTCGGCCAAAAACTTTGGGTTGAAAAAAATGGGTACCCCCAGTTCGAAAATGGAGTTGTTTTTTTTTCCGAATTCGAATGGTGATTTGGAGGGTAGACCTTATTTTCAGACACTCCAGATGAGATTCCTATCATTTTTTTACAGATCCTGTTCTTTTGAAATTTACATGCTATAACTCTATAACCAAAAAAAGCAACTTTTGTTCATTTGCCGGATTGGATACTGGATGGTATCATGCTAGAAATGGTCATTTCCCAGTGGTCGAGGCTATGGTCTCAACTCATCCCAGCCTTCTGGGCAGGCCCTCAACTCAGATCTTTCGTTCTGTTTTTTTTTTGGAGATTTGAAGATCACAGTACCATCAAAAATGTTCCAATAGTTGGGAAGGTGAATAGCCGATCGGCTACCTTTGATCTTCAAAGATCCAAGATCCTCTTCACCAACTGACTTTTCAGTTTCAAAAGTCAATCTCTTCCATCATGTTTTAGTCAGCCAATGATAGTTTGCGCATCTCCAAAAATTGAACCAACGGTTCTTGATACCCATATGCGAACCATGGTGCTGGAATATTTACCTACAAAACTGGGCCATGTATTTGGGGTAAATGTAGGTGTGCATCTTCCAGCACCATGGTTCGCATCTAGATCCAACGCGGATAATGCGGAATGTCGTAGTAAGATCATTGAAAACCTGGTAAGATATGGTAAAATATCAAGTAATTTTGTTAAGGAAAACCGTCATTTCAATATGGTAAATATATGGTAAATCTGGTACATATCATTTCAATCTTTGTTCGTTAGTGAGAACATAATCAAGCATTCCCAATTTCAGAAACAGAGCTATTTTTTCCCACCCCAAATTGAATGTTCATTATTCGGTGTAGCTATTATTCGTTGTATCCCCAGCATAAAACCCCCAATTTCGTTCAGGTTTCAACCACCGTCCCAAGTCCAGGTCCAATTCAGCCATCTGATCATCTTAGTCTTGAAAGTCATGCGCTTTGTTTGTTGTACCCCTCTGGTAAACTAACATAGCTATTGAAAATGGCCATTTATAGTGGATTTTCCCATGAAAAATGGTGATTTTCCATAGTTATGTAAACGTTTACCAGAGGGTATTCCCCACCACCATCATGGTGTTTTGGATGTATTACAGCACCATTCTTGGTGATGAACTCCCAATTTTTTCGTGTTTCCCCTCTTTTTTTGACCAGGTTTTTCGGAAGAAAATCAGATCAAATCACAGATTTTTAATGGTTAAACCATGTGAAACCATGATTTTTGTTGGTTCTCACCCATTTTTGTTGGGTCTTCACCCATTTTTGTTGGGTCTTCACCCATTTTTGTTGGGTCTTCACCCATTTTTGTTGGGTCTTCACCCATTTTTGTTGCTTTTCACCTTGTTTTTCACTTTATCTTTACCTGCTCCAGGTGTAGCTGTAGGCATCGGCACTCGCGTGGGCAAAGGCTGCACCAGTGGCCATGGCATCTGCGGCCTGCCGCGCTTCTCCCTGAGAAGCTGGAGACTTGGGGCGGCATGAGGTTTTTTACATCCCTGTTGGTATACCCTGGGTATATTGGTTAGTTGGGAACTCATCTATAATCTGGTCTATATGGGAATATATATGGGAATATATATGGGAATATATATGGGAATATATATGGGAATATATATAATTATATATATATATGGTAATAACCCCTCTGATAGTTGCAAAGTGGGGCCACCGTTTACGATAGCTAAGTTGGGGTTCACATAACTCCCATTAAACCTATGGTTTATGGCAGATATAACGAACTAGTTAATGGGGGTTATAAACCAACTTATAACTGGGGGGGCACCACCTTGTAGGTCAATCAAGTGGATGGGTAGAAACTAATCCTAACTAGTCTTTTGGTATGGGAATATCTATAAATTTCACCAGCACAGAATTTATCATTTTTTGCAGGGTAGCTGGCTAAATAGGCAATGGATTGAACAGCATGGAATGAATCTAGAAGAAATCCATGTTGATATTCTGAACACCGTGACAATATTGTTGGTTGATCATGAGAGAATGGAAGTTGACAAACATGTTTTAACATGTTTTAAGCGTCAAGAACTATGGTTTAAGGATGTTTAAGGTACATATATCTATAGTTAATGGGCTTATAAACCCCCTTATACCGGGCAAAACCACCTTGTTATTGGTTGAAGATGATCATGAGATGGAGATTTTACCCTGGAGTAAACGTGACCCATAGATGTGGAACACCCGATGGTTTCCCTAAAGAACATTTTATCTATGGTGGCATGGTGGTGAGGCTCCAATTCGTTAGCTAAGTTGGTGAACATCACTTCAATGACTATGTCTTATAGCAAATATAATAGTTAAATCCTTAAATATCTGGAATTAACCATCACCTATTTGGGCTTAACCATCAAATATTGGGAGTAACATTTGTTTGGGATTTAACGATCAAATATAGGGCTGTTAAACGGGGTTTTAAATCCCTAGTGGTTGATGTAATATCATGACATCATGGAGATTTTCAGCATCAAGAATATGGAAAAAATATGGGGATGTCATATGATCGAAGGAAGCTTAGAAGTCAAACTTCCGACAATATGGACAGATGAAAAGCAGAGCAGGGCAGAGGCAGAGAGAAGAGGAAGCTTAGAAGAGAGAAGATCAGAAGAGAAAGAGTAAGAGGACAGAAGATACAGATGCGCGAAAAGGTAGAAAAGTCGCGAAACACTGTGTTTTTCCAATGATTTGTGGCTCCGGAGGGTCGAAAAGTAGGCTCGCTAAAGCGGCGGGTGCGGACCCAGCTGGCCACAGGAGCGATGAAAAATTGCACGCCGTTGTGGCGCGAAGCACATTTCCAAGTCAAAATGTACAAAACACACCAATGTCGGACCACTTTTGGAAGTTCCGATGTCGAAAAAGTGCACGCCGTTGTGGCGCGAAGCACATTTTGAAGTCAAAATGTACAAAACACCGCAACCTCGGACCACTTTTGGAAGTTGAGATGTCGAAAAAGTGCACGCCGTTGTGGCGCGAAGCACATTTCCAAGTCAAAATGTACAAAACACCATTCTCGGACCACTTTTGGAAGTTGAGATGTCGAAAAAGTGCACGCCGTTGTGGCGCGAAGCACATTTCCAAGTCAAAATGTACAAAACACACCATGCTCGGACCACTTTTGGAGGTTCGGATGTTGAAAAAGTGCACGCCGTTGTGGCGCGAAGCACATTTCGAAGTCAAAAGTGTAAAAAACTGGGGGTTTTGAGCCTTTTTTGACGTTAAGATGTCCAAAAAGTAGACACTGATTAACTTAACTAACTTGACTAACTTAACTAACTTCACTAACTTAACTACCCTAACTTCGGCGACAACAGCAACAGCAACAACAACAACACCAACCACAACAACTACAACCACAACTACACAACAACTACACAACAACTACAACTAGGACTACAACTACAACAGCCACAGCTACAACTACAACTACAACAACTACAACTACAACAACAACAACAGCAACAACAACAACTACTACTACAACTACAACTACAACTACAACTACAACTACACAACAACTACAACTAGAACTACAACTACAACTACAACAACTACAACAACTACAGCTACAACAACAACAACAACTACAACAACAACAGCAACAACAACAACTACAACAACAACAACAACTATTACTACTACTACTACTACTACTACAACAACTACTACTACTACTACTACAACTACAACTACAACTGCAGCTACAACTACAACTACAACTACAACTACAACTGCACTACACAACAACTACAACTACACAACAACTACAGCTACAACTACAACTACAACTACAACAACTACAACTACACAACAACTACAACTACAAAACAACTACAGCTACAACTATATGACTGCAACTACACTACACTAATTACATTAAACCACAACTACAACTCCACTACGCTACAACTACAACTACAGTTGCAGTACATCACACTACATCCAGCACTTGTGGGTGAGGTGACCACTGCAACCATTGCAACCACTCCAGCAAACACAACTCCAACCACCTTTCGGTCAATCAGTGGATTCGCTCTGCCATCCGTGATTCACAACAACCAACGTCTCCTATAGGTTTCCTATTCTGAAACTTCCGCCACTGCCTTGTGCGGTGCTACTGGTATACCCTCTGGGTATGACTAACAGTTTGCCATGGTTATTACGATGACCCTAATCTAAATAGATGGTTTAGCGAACTAAAAAATGGGTGGATCTTTCCATTGCGAACTGTTAGTCATAACCAGAGGGTATATCGATATACGTGATGAATGACGGTTGATGATTGCTGGGGATTATTAGGGACAATCCATTAGGGGAAGCCCGTTACCAACCAGTATAAAGGGACAACCCGGGGTTTTAAAGCTCAAGTTGTGGTAATTTTCGTACACGGTGAGGCCCTGAAAGTATAGCTAAGTTGGATTAAGTTGGTTTATAGGTTAACTAGGGTTGATTTGGGGGATATGTGGATGATTGTGGATGGGGTCAAAACCAGTTATTGCATATTATGACCATGTACCATGGGGAATGCATGTCCATTAACCAGTTATTTTAGGTTACCTAGGGTCCCAAGGTTTGGACTCATAGTTATATGACTATAGTTGATGGGGGTTATACTATGTTATACTCACCTTGAAGGAACATGACGATTGCGCGTCAGATCCTTTTCTGGCCCTATTTTCAGAGAAACGCATTTTTAAAATTTCATCAAACATGGTGGAGGCTGAAAAGAGTGGGGATTTCACCTAGCTGGTTGGTGGTTTGGAACATGGTTTTTATTTTTCATTATTTTTTCATATATTGGGAACACTAGTCCCATTTGACTTTCATATTTTTCAGAGGGGTAGGTCAACCACCAACCAGCTAGAACATCTGCAAACCACAGGGTGATTTTCGTTTTTTTTTGAGTTCAGAATTTCAGTGGAATTCATCGCGAAGTATGCGTTTCCGCGGTTGAAACACATGAGTGATTTTCTTCGGAGGACGCAAAAAATGGGGATGTTTCATCAGAAAACCCAGGGATTTCATGTGACTAGATGTGACGACTGATGACACTACTCACTGGATCCAAAGAAACCAAGGCTTGCGAGAAATTTTGACATGGCGGATGGATAAAATTTTGGTATCATGGTTGCTGGTTGAAGAAAATAGTGACACGACCTGGCCATGCAAAGCCTGTGATGGCGAAGTTTTTCTGGCGAATGTTTATGGGAAAACCATCCATTTCGCACGTGAGGAATCATTTTTTTGGATGTTTTGGATCCACGGTTCTTCGATTGCCATGTGGGGCCATGGAAATTTCGTGACTCCGGTGATAAAAAAGGCGCCAGAACTTCGATAATCCAACGTGGTTCGCGACATCTCCTATGAAGCTTTCAGGAAAATTCATGGAGCATCATCTATACTATACCCTCTGGTAAACTAACAGTTTGCGAACTTGAAAATGGCCCAGTCGAAATAGTTGATTTACCCATGAACAATGGTGATTTTCCATAGTTATGCGGCAGTTTACCAGAGGGAAAATGCTTGATGACCGGGTTAAAGAAACGACCCTGGAATCGGTGAATCCCTCAGGTCTGATTTGTTCAGTTCAGCCCCGCAGGATCTCTGTGCCAACCTTCATGGGGGTGGCTGCAGCGACCATTGCCATCACCAGACATGCATTGAAGATTGACGGCACGGGGCATCTCGGATACAAAACACTGACACCTCCAGCAGAATTCGCCATAAACATGGAGAACTGAAGAAAGTTTGATGATTTTTGCCTGAATTTTGATGAAGCTTGACATGATTTTGTTGTTTCGAAATATGTGTAGAAATTGACTGGGTTTCGAAGCAGAAAAAGCATGGCAGGTATAGCCCCAGAGTGGCAGAGCTGCAATGGCCACCGCAGCAGGGCCACCTAGGGGCAGGGGTAGTTTGGTGAGTTGAACTTCGCCTTGTTGGTTGGTATGGTGGGGTTATCCTCGGGGAGTTTGCTAGTGAACCTGGATAAAATGGCCATTTGTAGACGCTTTACCACAACTGATGATTTTCAATGGCTATCTTAAGTTGAGGATAGCCACTGGGTTTTTAAGAGGCAATTGCGAACTAACGCCATAGGACTACCTGACTACCTCTCAACCAGCATCATCCCGAACCTGGTTTTTCAAGGAGAGATGAAGCCCCGAAAAGTTATTGATGGGTTGGCCCCCTGTAAATGTTGACATAGATCCAGAAAACCCACCCTGAATGTCGATCATTTTCTGAACGGAAACCAGGCAGCTTTTCCACATCTATGTAAACGTTTACCCCAGGCTAGCTGCTTGGGTCAATACGTGTATTCACTCAGAGTCTCAAACTGGTTCATCCCTTGACTTCGGCTAAATATGTGGTTCAAAACCAACCACCGTTTGACTCGTCTTTGGCCGTATTGTATGGTCCTAGAACCGACATCCTACGTACAATCTGTTGTTTGTATGGATAATAATCATATCCAATTACAGTACCAGTTCACCAGCGAAAAAAAGTCCGGACCTTTTAAAGATTCCAGCCGTTCTTTGCAGGTTGGTGGTTTCAAACATGGCTTTAATTTTCCATTTCATAAATGGGATGTCATCCTTCCCATTGACGAACTCATATTTTTCCAGAGGGGTAGGTATACCACCAAGCAGTTTGATATGAAAAAGAAGGGATTCCAATTGCTGGGTCGGGAACAGCGGGTGGTGTGGCTTCGACATCGGCAGGTTTGGTTAGTTAGCACCAGGAAGCCCTTTGCAGAGGTCTCAGGTTCGTTACAGTTGATCATGAGAATCGTGATGATAACGATATAAATATATAGTCACAATAGTCACAAAAGTCACAAAAAAGTCACAAAAAAGTCACAAAAAAGTCACAAAAAAGTCACAAAAAAGTCACAAACAAGTCACAAAAAAGTCACAAAAAAGTCACAAAAAAGTCACAACAACAACAACAACAACAGGAGGAGTAGGAGTAGGAGTAGGAGTACCATTTATAATGAGAATAATGATCATGAATGCTAATAGGACTATAGTGGCAATATCAGATCCAAGAGGTAATTCATGCGCTAACTATTGGCAATATATGGCAATATAACAGTAGCAAATTAAAAAAAATGAATTTCCGGAATACTAAGAATCCTCATATCACCATTCAGTTTGGCAGAAAAATTACCACCCGCCCATCGGCCCCTCAGTATAATGATTGGTCAGTATATAAAAATATATTAAATTCATATCCCCATAGAAATCACCATTTTCAATGGCTTTCCCATGAAATCCCATAGGATACGTTTTTTTTTGTCATGGCTCAGGTGGCAATTCCCCTTGGGCGCCTTCATGAGCTCTTTGCTGCTGATCGCGCTGAGCGTTCTGTTGCCGGATCGCTTCAAGAAGCCACTTGGTCCTACGATTAAATCGCACTTACCCGGCCTGGTTATGACTAACAGTTCGCCATGGTTATTACGATGGCCCTAATCGAAATAGATTACATAGATGGTTTACCGAACTTCAAAATGGGTGGATCTTTCCATGGCGAAATGTTAGTCATAACCAGAGGGTAGAGATCTTTGTAGGAGATTTCTCTCTCCTGGAGGATAATTTTATCCCCTGCAAACCTGATTTGCATTGAATGGAGCAATGTAGAGGCTATAGCGGCGGTCTGCCGATGTCCTTACATCTTGCAGCTTCCATCGAATTGTTATTACCCTGACCAATACCAGGATAAATATAAGTATTGTTATTCTATACTATACTATTATAGATTCTGTTACTGTATTATTGTGTGTTACCGTCATTTTTGTTTTGCTTTTATCATATGTAGTGCAAATTCAATGGTGAGTGTTTTTTTTTCCCACAACTGGCATCATCATTCGTGCCAAAGTCAGGGCGTGAGTGTCTTGAGCCCCCAATTCCAACCAATTCCAATAGCTTCAAGAAGCTAATCACAACCCCTCAGCTGTCATCATTGTTTCCTTCACCTTGCAGCCGCCGAGTTTCACAATAAAACCTTACCATCTGGTTATTTAACATAGTGAACAGGAAATCACCATTTTTAAGTTCGGTAAACCATCTATAAATGGCTCATTTCCCATGGCTATGTTAGTCATAACCAGAGGGTAAGTTTCAGTTTCCAATTTGAATCATGTCGATATCAATGCCGCAAAGTCGACTTACTGGTAACTTAGCCATGGAACATCACCGTGTTTGGCAAATCATCTATCAATGAGCCATGGCTTCCCGTTCACAACGTTAGTCGTCGCAATCTTCTTTCGGTGGTGCCCCAGGTGAAACGTTGGAGCAACGTTCACTTTTTCTGGGGCCTTACCTTGGTATTAGCATTTTGATTTATATCATTTATATCCATCTCCCAATCCAATCTTGACATCCGTAAATCAACTTATCCTTCTTAAAAAAACCATGCAGATTCTTGTTCTAGTCCCATTTTCAAAATCCGATGGAAATCCCATGGAAATCTCGATATTTTTTGTGGGATTTAGTTTGTGGAGTTGCATCAGTAATCATCAGTAGCTAAGACAATATGATAATATATTTAATATACCCCATGATACCCTCTGGTTATTTAACAGTTCGCCATGGAAAATCCCTTCCATAAATGGAGGTTTCTGTCGCTGGGGAAAATCATCTATTTCGATTAGGGCCATGGCTTCCATGGCGCCAGGTTCGTGTCGCCCTTGTCTTCCGGTTTGATCTTCGCCATGGGCCTGGGTGCCTCTGGCATGACGAATCCCATGAAGGCCGGTTCAACTGAAGCCATAGAAGTTGAAAATGGGGATATAACTGGGGATATTCTTGTGTAGTTTTTGGGGATATCACTGTATAACTGGAGAAAAAATGGATGTGAATGAGGTTTGGAAACTATTTTTTCGACCATGGTTCATTTTTTTTTGGGGAATTAGAGATGATTTTCCCAGCTATAAAGCTTCATGTTTCATGGGGATCTCCTAACTTGCCACGTTTGATGAGGCCATTTGAGGGACCCTCATGATCAACCCTGGGCTTTGAGCCCAGTTTTGGTGGCTTGAAATTCTGGATCAGAACGGAACTGGACTACGGACTATACAGCCAGATATTAAAAAAAAACATGATACAACCCAGTCCGGCATCTGCAGTTTACCCATTCTAAAATATTCTAAATGATTTTGTTTGGGTTCGGGTTACTGTACACTAACACATCCTAAAGCTGGGTACCTTTTCTACCCCAACAGGCTCATGGGTTCGATGGAATTAAGCCTTGAAAAAATCAATTTCTGGCGTTTCACTCAGCCAACTTCGGTTGATATCCACATGTTTGCTAGTTAAACCTCCATTTTCGTTGGTTGAATCTACATTTTATTGGTTCAATCCACATTTTGTGTTGGTTAAATCGACATGTTGGTTGCTTCAATCGCTATCTTTGTTGCGCAAATTGACCATCTGGTTATGACTAACAGTTCGCGAAGTGGAAAGATCCACCATGCTATTAAGTTCGGTAAACCATCTATTTCGATTCGGGTCATCTATACCATGGCGAACTGTTAGTTATTGGAGTTATTGGAGTTATAAACCATAATTATTGGAGTTATAAACCAATAACCAATAAACCATAGTTACTGTTTAAACTATACCAATAACCAGAGGGTAAGTGCCGGAATCACATTGAAACAATCGCGAGTCTCCCGGACTCGCAGCAGTTTTGTGGTTCGCAGGTCATGAACTTTCTGGACTTCGGAGGCAGGGTTCAACTAAAGGCGAGCAATGGATGAATAGAACATTGCTTCCAGGTTTTAAGATATCCAGAATAGAATATATCATAATATACATTACATTACATTATATATATGAATGATTATATATATATATAATTATATATATATATATATTATATTTCATTGTGTATACATATATATACAGCATATGTAGCTGTCAGTATTGGGGGATAGAAAAACGACTAGGAAAAAGGTCGCTTGGATGGTCCCAAGTTCCATATTGGTGGCCAGGGATGTAGAAACTGATGGAAGTTCCAGAAAACTGGTTGGTGGTTTGGAATAGCCCCTGGTTATTTTTTATTGTAGCGAACTGGACAATCACCATTTTGAATGGGTAAATCATCATTTTTATTATCTATAAATGGGCTATTTTCCATAGCAAAGTGTTAGATAACCAGAGGGCACTTCTCTTCAATCCTAAAAATGACATGTGATCACTGGTTGGTGGTTTGGAACATCTTTTATTTTTCCATTCAGTTGGGAATTTCATCATCCCAACTGACGAAGCCATATTTTTCAGAGGGGTAGGTATACCACCAACCAGAAAATGACATGATCTTTATATAGTTAGTACTATATATATGGGTGATCATAGTTTCCATGGCTTTTCATGGTTACCATAACCATAGTTTCATGGTTTTCACTTCACTTCACCATTTCTTTTGAGCTGAAAGCCACCCACCTTCGCCTTCCAAACGTGACGTGCCTCAGAGATGATGGGCTCCAATTTCCGGAAAAATGTCCGGTTGATACAATACGTGGGCCCCCCTTAAGGCCACAAAATCGCTAAGTTGGGGGCCACATAACTCCAATTTCACTGTGGTTTATGGTACTTATAACGAACTAGTTAAGTTAGAAATAACTACAGTTACTGGGGTTTATAAACCAACAAACATAACTGTTTTTTTTAAAGCTTCTCACCCAAAATACGTGGCTATTTCGTGACACCATCAACGTGCCCCAGAGATGTTGTTTTTTTAGCACCACGAAGTATAGTTAAACCATAGTCAACCATAGAGAAAAAAACAACATTCTGTAAGTGAGGCTTTATATGATGTTTATATTTCCCTCATCAAGCATAGAAATTCACGCCGCTGTGAGGATATTGGGATCCATCCTTAGCGTTCGTCATGGGATGTGGCATTTGCGCCCCTTGGCGTCGTGTTGACCTCCGGGCAGAAGAAAACAGCAATTTTTGGGACCGACACATTTCCGAGATTTTGGCTGGCTCAACATCCATTCGCACTACCCTCTGGTAATTCAACGTAACTATGGAAAATCACAATTTTTAATGGGAAAATTCACTATAAATGGGCCATTTTCAATAGCTATGTTAGTCATTACCAGAGGGTAATACACCCCCCAAAGAAAATGTGGTTTTTCATGTCAGGCTGTAGATCTATTGATTTTGGGTGCCAAGTCGTGGATGGGTCGGAAAACCAGGTTTCAGGACACACACACACATGGATTGTGCCTGGAATTTGCCTGGAATCTCAAGAAAATCCTGGTTACCATCACACCAAAGATTTTCCATACCATTTGGGAAGACATTGGGCTGTTTTTAGCTGTTTAGGTCATGATCCACTGGATGGTATCCATGGTTTTTGCAGCTTCAACCATGGAAAACAATAACCAGTGGCATCCATGTATATTCAATATGATATATGATGATATATGTATATATACTATATATACATATGTAAAAAGTTATGTACACATATAACAAATTAGATTATGAATGTTCATGATATTTGTCTCAAAAACGTATCATTTGACCATTTTGACACTGTGTACATCCAAGTAAGAGTCCCTATATTTCTTAAACATTGGATTTGGCTGTTGATAAATGTTTCTATAGCTAGAACCTCAGTTATAAATGTGATAAGTGACCCAACTGAGGTTCTAGCTATAGATAAGTTATTATAAATAGAACCTCAGTCATAGTGGGTTTCTATAAGTGGGTTAATCCACTTATGACTGGGGTTATAACCCACTTACTAAGTGAGATGAGCCAAGTCGAAAATATGGTTGCCGTATCGCTGAGATCAGTGGTCCCGCCTTCATCATGGCGGAGCAGCTGCGTAAGGTGCGGTAGCGCGGGCGAAAAAAGCTGAGGAGTGGAAGAAACATGTTTTGGGACCCCTGAGTCTTGGATCTTGGAAATGGTGATTCAAGGGTGAAACATAGCGAACTGGAAAGATCCACCATTTTTAAGTTCGGTAAACCATCTATAAATGGACCATTTTCCATGGCTATGTTAGTCATAACCAGATGGTATAAATTTCTGATTTAATGGTGTTTTTTTTGGGTTTCATGGGATTTTACAGTGATTGAATGGGAGTATGGGAGCATTTTTTGGAAGATACTATAGCTACTTTGAAGGTGAGGAATCCAGCCTGGTTATAGCTATAAACTATAGCCATAGCTTATGGTTATAGCATGGTTATATAAGCCAGTCATTTTTTTTTGGGATAACGCGGGCGACATCGAGGACTGACGAAGGGGTCGAAGGGATCTGGGGGATGATCAATGAGAATTTCTCTGAGAAAATGTGGAGTTACTATGGTAAAAAAATATCCACATCCTGTGTTTAACATGGGAAAATTAGTGTTGTCAACGAACTGCTTTTTTGGGCAGCTTGTACTATAGTTTAGCCCCAAAATGGCCGTTTTCACTTGGAGATGTTGCCCAAATACCTAGCGTTTCGATTTTTTTCGTATCTCAAATTGGCCATGAAATGGCAGCTCCCATGGTCTAATTCCAAATCAGAGAAGATCCAGAAGAAACTGCTCCGATCTGCCACTCAGATATTTTCTAGGCCCCCTGGTTACTAAACATCCCCAAACGAAACCATGGTTCGGTAGGGGCAAACATGGAAAACACTGATTTGGGATTTTCCATGGGGTGAGACCACAAGCGGGATTCGATCCAGCTGTGCAGGTCACAACCCCATTATGTGAGGGATGCAAATTCGAGAATCCGCCGAAGAAGGGCAACTATCTGCCGCTGGTGCTCGGTGTCTCGCTCTGGTCAAACGCGGGAGACGTGGGATGGTTTACCAGGCAGGAACAGCGGATGAATGGTTTGAAGCAAGAAATATGCTTGGTGCAACCAACAAGAGAGGGCATCCAACAATCAGAATATGGATTCAGATACTGTTTGGCTTCTTATTTTAGCTAGCCTGGAGGCAAAGAGTTTGTTTTGCACTTTCGAATAGATTTCATTGTACGAATCGTATAGCGGAAATGTGTCAGATTCTTGTTTTAATCTTGTGTATATGGGACTCAAAACTCCTTTCTAAAAATCACCACAGCGATTCGAACTTCCCAAACTGGTTGCCACCATCTTTGCTGGTTATATCCACATCTTTGATCATGTTTGCTGGTCATAGTCATATTCCCATGATTTCCTCACGGTTTCTGAAGCTTCTACTGTATCCACATGTTGTCTGCCTCATTTCAGCCGCTGGGTTTTGTCACCGCTTTTTTCGCCATCAAAAATCGCTTGGGAAACAGATCATGCCGAATTTCCTCCCCAAACCAGAGCAAGGCTCTCCTATCCTATCCTATGAGGTGTTTTTGGTGCAGTGGTTTCAATTTTTTTGACCTCAACTGCTGTGCAAAGAGTCAACCATGGCATTGCCAAATTGCTGGAAGTGGCACCCCCAGGGTGGAAAGAACCAAGGCAAAGTCCCTAGGTTGGCCCACTGCGACACCGCGATTCCCAAACGGTTTCCGAAAGTCTTTTCTGATTCTCCAACGGCTGAACAGAGCGCATCTGCAAGTTTAATTCAGTTAAAGCCTACCCTCTGGTAATTAAACATAGCTATTGAAAATGGCCATTTATAGTGAGTTTTACCATTAAAAATGGTGATTTTCCATAGTTATGTTAGTTTACCAGAGGGTATCGGAAGAACCATGGACATTCCCACTAGGTGCTGCGTTGTTTACATGGTTGGCCAGTCACAGCTACGGGTCTGGCGTCAATGACCCGTGATCAGACCGCACTACCAAGGTTACTATAGGTGAACTAACCCATAGTCTATGGAAACTGTGATATCAATTTTTTCAACCAACTAGTATCCCAACTAACATCCCAACTAATATAAATATACCACAATTATCCCATGAATCTTCCATGATATCAATGGCCATGTCAGGAACCGACAAATTGGAGGTACCTACCATATATAATGCCTATGTAAAGGCTAAATTTCTGGGAATATCACCATAAAATATGGTCAAAAACATGTTACTAACGTACCTCCATTTTAGGATCCTGAAATTCCCATTGATCACTACAATGAGCATGAACATTTCAAGATGTCAATGAAGGTACCCGGTACTCCCTTAAATCCTCCAAAACTATAGATTATTTTAGCTGTTTGGTGGTTTGGAACACTTTTCATCATCCCAACTGACTTTCATATTTTTCAGAGGGGTAGGTATACCACCAACCAGTTATTATACTATGATATATTATGATTATTGTGGGCTTTAGCTCATGAAAAACCATGGTTTCCAAGAGTCATTTCATCTAATAAGCTTCAATCAAGAGTTACCCTCTGGTAAACTAACATAACTATGGAAAATCACCATTTTCAATGGGTAAATCCCCTATAAATCACCATTTTCATGGCACTTTTGAGGTGCCAGCTGCTTCGGCTTGGGCTGGGGCCTCATTGGCCTCTGCCCAGGCCCTGCGCTGGTGGCCATCATTCCGATGCTCGGTTGGCCAAGGGATCAATGGTTCAAAAGGGGTTCATCATGGACATGTAGGAGGCAGGGGGAATACAATTCTATTAAAATATGTATAATATATATATATACATATACAATATACATATATATATATATTAATATACATGACAGCAACTTAGTGCCTCATGAGAAAAAACAATAATATATATATATAATTCCGAGATAGTAAGAAAATGTCTCAATTTCAATTTCTTTTTTGTAAACCCAAGAGTAAACCATCCCAACCAACCGGCCACAGATGGGGGGTCTTCGTCATCATCCCATTGTGGAGGCCCAATAAACCTCAAACTTTGGAGATGGTTTATGACATGGTTTATGACATGGTTTATGAACATATCTGTTTATTATAGCCATAAACTTCATGATGATTTTTTTTTTTTAAATGGTTTATGAAGTTTGGTCCACATTTTTTTTTTTGGACCTATAGGGGAAGATCACTGGAATATCGTGGAAAATCCTTTCGCACCATCCCCTGGTGATGGGGATCATCCGATGATCCCTGCGGTCACAATCAATTTATATCCCGTTTTTCCCTGATTTTTCCCCAAGGATTATGTGTAAAAGCCATGAAAAAACCATGGCTTAAGATATTTTAATATGAATCAGGTATGGGATTTAGAACCTCCCAGTTGATTTTTTCAAGGGGAGCAAGTTTAAGAGTAAACATAGACAGCTGCTTTGGGGATATTACCCCAATAGTCAGGGTTAATCCGTGTTGACATTCACAGGGGAATTTGACCCCAGGATCATAACCCATGATATTCCCATTGCAACATATTAAAGAACGGAGAATCTTTCCACCGCGTGTTCTTTTTCTGTGTGTGTTTTACGAAATTTTGGCCTAAAGTTATAAATTGCAAATATGCTTCTAAATTGAGATATCTGTGTTATATGATGGTATACAATGGTATACACATGTGGTGGTTTCTTAAAATGAGGGATCCCCAGTCGTCACCATGGGTTAACCTATACTAAGTAATGGCCATCCATATTCCTTGGTTGATTTTTGGATACCCCCAGGACTTGGGACACCTCCAGTATGATTATCATTGATTATCATTACATATGAATTGGCAACACTGTTTTCATTACATATTATTATCATTACATATTAATATAATTACATATCATATCATTATTAATTACTATTCGTATTATCATTAGTATTATAGTTATACGTATATCTATATGGGTATGGGTCAAAACTGAGTACCCCAGTTATTGGATGGTTAGTACTGAAAATAGACAAGTCAACCTGTGGTCCCCCAGGTCCTTAATTTTGACCCATATCTATATCTGTATGGCTCGTATTTCCGGGTTCGTTCTTCGTTCGTTCTACACAGCTAAGGCCCGAGTCATACCAGTTATAAGTACTAAGAAAACCCCATCAAAATAGAATGTATATTTTATCCCAAAGAAATAACCATCATCAATCACTATTAGCCACTATTAACTCATATTAACCATGTTTAATCACCATAGAAATCACCATAGAAATCACCAGTTCGTTCACCAAAAACGCCATGGCCACTGTAGGAAGATCGTGACGGGCATCTGGGGCCCTTGGCAACCTGACTTCGCCTTGTCGGCTGCTGCTTTGGTGATCTGCATCTCCTGGCTCACCACAGATCGGCTCATCACGTGCCTTGTCGGCGTCAAAAAAGGGGAAAACCATAGGAAAACCATGGGAAAACCATAGGACAATGGAAATTTACCCTCTGGTAAACTAACATAGTATTGGAATCAGCATGTCTTGGAGCGAAGCTTGTGACATCTCAGTGCTGGATTCCATGGCAACAATTACCCTCTGGTAAACTATATAACATAACTATCGAAAATCACCATGCTATCAATGGGAAAATCAGCTATTTCTATGGGCCATTTTCAATAGCAAACTGTTAGTTTACCAGAGGGTAAACCTCCATTGTCCTATGGTTTTCCTATGGTTTTCCTATGGTTAGTCATTACCATTTAGGGTATGGGAATTTTCACCACACTGAAGCATGGGATGGAATCAACCCGCCGAGTAGGGGGGCATCATGCTGAAAGTCACCGGAAGTCACCGGGTGATGTATGGAATTATGGAACGCGTCGAAACGCGTCGAAAGTAGAGATCCCAAGTTCTATGAACTTATGAAGTTCCGGTCATTCCCATTCCCAATTTCTTGAGGCATTTCAGCGCCAAGCCTGTGGCCACCACTGAAGTGAAGGCCGGACCTTGAAGGCTTCCCCGAGGGAGCTGGGTCCAAATAGGATATGCTGAGATGGGCTGGGAAATGATGGGACATGTCCTGAAAAAGCTTGAAACAACCGGCTGAATTTTCCGGGTCTTCTCTGGAATTTGTTGGGAACATTGACATTTGATGGTTCATGTTTTTTTTTCCATTTACGATGGGGCCGTTCTGGGGGTTGGATGGCAGCACCGTTTCCTGTGGAGGTTTACTTAAGCCAAGATTGGACCGGCTTGGATACCTCCACATGTGGGGGGATGCAGCAGGAGGTAAGGATGACTGTCTCAACCCAGCTGGTGAACAAACATAGCTATGGAAAATAACATTCTTTTATCGGTGAATCACTTATCCTCTCACTTGTATAGTTTTGCCTCAACTGAGGTAGTTCGTTTTGAGACTATAGTGTTCACATAATGTTTTTGGTGAATCACACACATATATATATATATATATAAATTGCCATTTTCAATAGATATACTGAAAGTTACCAGAGGAAAATGCCCACCTATTTTCTCCAAACCAACGAGTGCAGAAAGAGGCTGGACACAGCTTGGATTTGTTCAGTTTCGGATTTCAACTTAAATCCATCATTTTTGGGTCATGCAGGCTAAACGGCTAAACACATCTATTCTGGTTGGTGGTTTGGAACCATGGAATTTTATGACTTTCCATTCAGTTGGGAATTTCCATCCATCCCAAGTGACGAAGTCCATCATTTTTCAGAGGGGTAGGGCTCAACCACCAACCAGATTATGATCAATCTCTGATCATGATTCAATGATATTCAATGTTTATCCTCAGTGTTCATTGTGAATAGATCCCTATTATCCCCATGAATTATATCTGCCATTGGAAAGCTCTGGTTGGCTCGGCTGACATCGATCCTGGCAGGCCACAGAGTGAAGACAGGCATCATCCAATGATTCAGCATAGAAACGCAAGGCAGCCGGGTGAAGCCAAAATGAGCCCAAGAGCCCTTGGATGGAACTGCAGGCGGTCCTGCGGCCGAGGTCGCGAAAGTCAGCGGATGGCATGATGTTTGGAGGGTCCATAAAATCCTTCCGCAGTGTTTTGGCTGCCGGAGGCACATCCTTTAAACTATGAGGTCACAGGATGGGGGTTTGTTATGTTCTCTTTTCCATCTCAAAATGTGGACTCAGGATTGCAAAATGTGTGCTTTCCCGTTCCGGAAGACCTTTGATGCCATAATTGGCAATCACCTGTGCAAAATGCTCCTGCCATTGTGCAAGTAGCAGCACTTCATCTTCGTCACGTGGCTTCTGATTCGCAAGATGCGACAGTGAAGGGCGATGGTCAGCTGATCCCCGGGGGCCCGGGGGGTTTAAACAGGTGGTGCCATGGTGTTGTCGGTATGCCCAGTCCGCTGGATGGGAATCACCTGGAATATTCAATCTTTTTACATCCTGATGTCAAGAAAAAACAAAGTTCGGTTCATTTATTCATCCCAGTTATAAAATGTTATAAATATGATTTCCTGATGTTACAAAAAATCACCTGGAATTTTCAGTTACCTGATATTTTTATTGTACATCAGGCTTGACCGGTACGTTTGGATTCTCATGGCATGGGATGACACACATAGTTTTCAATGCATGCAAATGAATGTCATTGGGTAGATGATGGGATTTGTATTGACCAAAATTTTACCTCTTGGCTAAGCATCTTAGCATGTTCCTTCGGTACGGTTTGGCGTTCGTAACGCGCGTTTTAAAAACTCGCGTTCCGGAACGCGCGTTCTGAGTGGATCCTTTTTCCGATAATCCAAAGTTAATGTATTTCATGGGCCTGGACACTGAAACCTTTTTCCCCCAAAAAAAGGATTTCAAGAGCTCTTATGGGCTCAAACTGGTGGATGAAGCCACCAGAAAGTTGATCTTCCCAGCTCCGGATGCTTTTTGGGCTGAAGCAAAAAAGGTTCTGGCCTCACCAGGTTTGTGGGGCAAGTTAGGTTTCCTTCCCGGATCCTTTTCTTCTCTGAAAGAAAAAGGTTCTGACTTCTCACAAATTTTATCGTAGTGCTATTAACAGAGGTCCAAGAAGACTTTGAAAAAAGATTGAAAAACTCTATGTGACATGACACAGCGGATCCTTTTTGCAAGGAGCAAAACAAGGATTGGGAGGCTTCTGGAGCCAAAAACCATTATAACCCCCCCTGCGTTCGGAACGCGCGTTCCGGAACACGCGTTGTGCGTTCTGCGTTTTGCCGGTGCTAAGCTAAACATAGCCCATCTACCGTATGGAAACATATATATATATTATATATATGTATACATATACACACGTATATATATATACACATATAAATACGTATATATATAAATATGCATATATATATATATATGTATATATATATATTGTAAATGGTAGGGAGCCAGTTTCAACTGAAGATCCTAAGGCAAACTCCAATGTTATGGAATGAAGTTCCAAGATACCCAATCTGTAACCACACACCTCACTGGATCTCGCAATCTTCTGTTTTGGCACTGCTGCAGCAAGTCTCGCGACTGCGAACGAATGGACGGCCACGTCCAGAGCTGATAGGCACCCGGTGCCTTTCCCAAGCCGCACCAAATGGCACAAGGCAAGTGATCCCGCACCCACCCTCGACCAGGCTGCCAAGCCTAAATGACTGTGGCACATGCATGTGGTCCATGTGAGACCTGACATCGGAGTGGCACTGGAAACACCTGGTTCTCATGAATGCAAATCACACTCGTCTTTTTTATATCTATTTTCTGTGTTTTGTTCTTTTTGTTCCAAGTTGATTGATTGTTTTTGGTTCTTCAACCAAGCCAGTCGGTCCTTTGTTTTGGCTCTTTCCTTCAAGGTTGATTGTTCATCGGCAAGACGGTAGAAACCATATTTCAAAGTCTCCCTAAGGAAATTGGATTCCATTGCTTTGGTTAAGGCGTCGGCCAATTGAGCACCACTCGGTACCCACCGCAGGTGAGTTCCTTCATGCAAAAACTCCTTTATCGCGCGTGCCATTAATTGGACCCTGAACTCCGAACATGCTGGTGTTGCTGTTCGAGACACTAAATCAAACAAGCTTTTGCAGTCGGTGATGGCAGTGTCTGATCCTTCGGGTTTCGTGGGTACAGTGATGGCAGGGGCAATCTTTGTCAGAGTTTCTTCGGGTTTCTTCCAATTGGTTCTTTTATCATGAATCCAACTCCAGTACAAACGGAGCCATGAAACTTGGTCCAACGTTGACGATAGGGCCATTGTCTCAGCTGACAATGTGCTTGTCACTACCTTTTGAATCTTCCGGCAACCCCATGTCAAAGGACTGATTGGACATTCCACGTTCTTGTTGATATCCTGATGGGTCCCAACAATTATTGAACCTGCATGGGAGTCGGGCTTCTTTGCTGAGGAAAAGGAAGCATCTGAGAACGCCAGTAGTCGGAAATCCTGATATGGTATTGGTTTGATTGTTATTGTTACGTCGTGGTGACGTTTGGCTTCATGAAGTACTTTGTTGGCTTCCATGAGGGTTTCAATTTTGGCATGGTTGATTGCTGATTGAAGAAATGATAATTTGGATGATAGATCAGGTCTGGTATTTATGGCGGCGTACTGTAGGCTTCCAACTAAACCCCTTAGGGCCAGTCTTTCATCTTCGGTTACTTGGGCTTCCATGTGAGATTTCCGATTGGATTCAATGCATATGGGCTTGATTTTTCGTACGTAGGCTGATTGGTTAAGGGTAATACTGTAGTCATGATGTTGGGTTATCTCAATTCCAGTGAATGTGAAAGCTGAAATTTTGTGGGATCCAAAGGGAAATTTTCTTTCTAGTTGTCGAATCTTTTCTTCGAACACTGCGCTCCCTCCACCGATGCCATCGTCCACATGAATTCCCAGAATTCCTTCTAGTTGGCCCGGTTGGCCATCTTGGGATTCAGCGCGGAGCACAAAGCAGCATGGATCGAACGGAGAAGCCTCAAAACCTAACTGCGTTAGTTCTGTTACCAAGGAGCAATACCAAAGATATGGTGCATCAATGAGACCATATGCACTCTTGTTCAATCGGCATATTTCCTGGGGCTTCAAATCGAGTGCTTTGCGCAATTCTGGGACCGGGTCAATGGCAAGTACACGGTCAGCTTGGGGCTGACCCTGGAGAAAGGCTGCTTTGATGTCGAAGGACCTAATTTTCCAAGAGTGGGATGAAATTACCTGCAGGGCTAACATTCTGGAGGTCTTGTTTAATGTAGGGCTATCCCGTGGAATTTCTTCGATCTTGGGGTCAAGGTATCCTAAGACAACAAGGCGTGCTTTGGCTTTATGAGACCTTTTGGATAGCTGACTTTGAGGTTCATCTCCTACTTGATCTAGTGGTTCCCAAGTCAGAATCCATCGGCATCTCAGAACCTGTTCTTCAGGTATTTGGTTCCGGAGAATTGAGCTTATGGTCCCAGTGCGAATCCAGTTCTGAACTTCACTGTCTTTTGCCAGCTCAAACTCATGACGCTCTTCGGGTGTGAGTGTCGTCAGTTTCACCTCAGTCCTCTGCTTTTTGGCTGATGTGGCAAGTAAAACCCAGGTTTCCTTTTCTGTAGGTACTTGTCGGTCAGGGGACCTTTCGATTGGTATTTCAAACTCACATCTCCAGGCAGCATCATGGGTGTCATGGCATGACAGGGCACATGCAGTCTCATGGCATGTCAGTTGAATTAGTTCGGTGTCCTCATGAGTGGGTGCTTCAAGCTCCTCACTGAGTGGATTCGTCTGTGACGCTTCAGGAGTAACACTTTCGGGTTCTTGATCTGGTTGTGGAATGGAGTCATCATTGCTGACATCACTTGGGATAATTGGGGGTTCCTCTGGATTGTTATTTGAACCATGAGCATTTTTGGTCTGTAGTGATGGGGTTATTAATTTCAGAGGGAATTGAGTCATCGTTGAGATCAAGATTTGGGTTGTTCTGCATTCTCTGAATTTGTTGTTCCATTTGCGTGGTATCTTCCGGCAACTCGGGGCCTTCAGGTTGTCCCTCTTCTGGATATGCTTTTCTGGTGTTTTCGGGTGCGCTGCGATAGAGGGTTCCCCCCATAGTACACCATACTGTATGGTTATCATCCTGAACTATCACCCTAAGGGGCCCATGCCACCTTTGTTGTTGAAGGGGATTATTCTTCCAGATCATAACCCAGTCTCCTTTCACAAACTGGCCTCTGGCGGGGCATGCTCGTCTCAACAGTGCTCTGCGAAGCACATCGTTGTTGTCAGCGGCATGATATGCCCGACGGGCGGATTCACGCAGGGACAGCATGGCTTTGAACTCGGCTGAGCTCATAGACGTGTCTTCAGACATGGCCATCTCATGGGCAGGCAGCGATTCATCATTAAGGACAGACCCTGGTATCCTAGCATGCTTACCAAACACAATGATTTCTGGGGCATACCCGTGACGTACGCTCAACGTATTCTTGGCTTGGGTGCATTGGTTTAAGGCGGCTTGCAAGCTTGGATAATCAAGGATTGGAGATTCCATGTCCATTTTAATCAGCATGCTCTGTACAAACGAACCATGTCTCTCGATCCTGCCATTCTGCCAGTGAGCTTCGGGACACGTGGTGGTACTACGGATACCAAAACGTTGTAGGAAGTTTCCAAACACCTCACTGTTCATCTCTGTTGCAGAGTCCACCACAATTTCATTGGGTGCGCCGGCCCAGCTGATCCAATGCATCTGTAGAAGATGCGTCAGGTCCTCAGCCTTCTTGGATGGAGAAACTATAGCAACATGATAGTTTGAACCAGCATCTAACATGTGATAGAAGTGAAAGGTTTTTCCCGCTTTATTTGTCCATGTTACCCCATCTAGATAGATCTTATGGTTAAAATCTAACAGAGGTTTCAGGGTGGCAGGCCTGGCATGTTTTGGTGGGCTGCTTGCGGCGCACGTGGAGCATCGAATTTCCAGTGCAGCTTGGGATACTTCGGGCCGGTATCCGGCCACCTGCAAGGCTCTCGAGAGTCTGTCATTCGCTGGGTGTCCTAGGCTCTTATGCATCTTCAGTATGGCTTGTTGTTCCCAAACAGGCAAACATCTGAATCTAAACCCTTGCTGGGAGAGTCTTGGATCCGGTGGTTGCGGAACCGATTCCCGAGAAGGTGTATTGGGTACCTCCTCGGTGGGAACAGGTGCATTGACTTCTGATGCAGGCCGGTGTTCGGTGGGAACTTTTGGTGTCGAGGTGGCATCGTCCTCAACTGTCGATGGTTCCCGAGCGCTGTCATGCATTGGCTTCTCGAATTGGGTCTTTTCACCGCTGGGTTGGTGAACACCTTCGGAAGGCACTTCATGACCTCTTGATGTTGGAACATTTTCGGCTTTTGGAGTCCTCTGGCTATCATAGTCCTTGGCAAACACCGTGATGTTGATTCTGCAGGCATGTGAGGGTCTTATCAATTGGCGTTGAGATAACTGAGTCCAGTTTTCCCAGTGTCTTTCATATTTGATTTCACCATCCCTCTGAAGTATCAACATACGTCTGTACGGTGCTTCCTGAGAATGCATGTGCTTGGGAGGTCCCATGGTTCTTTCGGTTCCCCTGCATGACATCATTCGAACAATCATCTTATCAGGAAAGATGTTCTGCATTTGTTGGATTGTTTCAGGGTCTTCTATCTCCTTCTTACCTACTCTGGGCAAACTGCTGTTGAGAGTCTGTACAAGTTCCTGACACATCTCCAACGACGGTGCAGACCCTTGCAACATGTCGGTCTTGAGGCGTTTTGCCTCCTTGCTACCACGGGCAACTGGTTGCATCAGTTCGGATTTGGCAAATTGGGGCTTCTGACGGAACTGGCTCTTGACATTAGACGCTTTGGCACGCAATCGGCTATTGGCCACCAGGGCTGGTTCCTGAGAGTCGATTTTGAATTTGGCCTGCGTCATGCCGGCTTTCCATCGAAACGGCCACCACTTTTCACCTTTGGAAATGACTTGGGCAACAGCTCGTGCAAACTTTCGGGGGTATACCTCAGTGAAATGAGATCTCAACATGTAAGTCCCATCCTTTTGTCTAAACGACCCCTCGATTGGCTGGTGTTTATGTTCATGTTTACACGTCATGCCATGGAATCTTTCGTACAAAGGTGGGAAGGTGGTGATGATTGTCATCCCCTTCTTCATTGCCAAACCACTGTCGGGGTCCATCAGGTTACCAGCTCTGCACATGTCAAACTCACATGCCTGGGTGTGCTCATGGATTTCCGATAAGCAGGGCAACTTGAACATGAGTGAACGCTGGGGCTGTTCCCAATGGAAGTGATCTCCCTGGGCCATCTGGTGACGATATAGGGTTATTCCCAAGGCAACTTGATACAACAGTTCTTGTCTTCGGGTTTGGTATTCCTTTTGGTGTTCAAGTGATCGAGATGAATTGAGCTGGGACCAGGACGACCAAGGACCACAAACTGGACTATACCATATGTGCTTCGGCCGGTGACGTGCGATGGACTGGAACAGACCCATTCTGCCGGGCGGTGTGGACAAATCGCCCTGGGCTAATCCATGTCTAAAGGCTGACTTCCCACCTTGCTGAACTTGATGAGTCAATGGTGAGTTTGAGCTGCACATGACTTCTCCTAGAACCCATCTAGTTCCTAGTGGCTTGGTATCTTTCAGGGCTTGTTGCAACTCACTGGAAAACTCATTTACCATTTGGAAGACTCTACTGGTTTCATGGTGCATGGTGGTCAGCACATCGTCGGACCAGTCCTCTCTCACCAGTCCTCTTCCTCCTCCGGCATGGGATTCATGAGGTTCTCCTTGTTCTCGATGTACCGGATGACTCTGGTCATGGCATTCTCCATGTGCAGCAATCGTTGTTGGACAGCTGCCATGTCCTCCATCAGCGGCATGGGAGTCGGGTTCATAGTCGGTGGGTCGTACATCTCTGTGGCCATGTCCCATCCGCTTTCTCCAGCTGGCGAAGAGGTGCCGGAAGCTGTGGCGATACTCTTGGCCATGGGCTTCACTTTGGGCTTTGCTCGGGGAGCGATCACTGTCTGGCTGCTGACAGGTGCCGTCCCTTGACCCTGTTCGATGGCTGAGACCTGAAGTTCCACATACTTCAGAAACCTTCGGTGTTCCTCCTTGCTGCTGTTCTGGTACCGCGACACCATGAACTGAATCCACTCCTGGTCCTGCCAGGTATCCTGATACTGGTGCCCCTTGTACTTCTGTCCAAAGGCTATGGTCTCGGTTGCCAGTTCCTCCAGTGTGAGGTGGTCGAGACTGGGCAAGGTCACTGGCGCCTGTGTCTCGAGGCGGCGAAGTCTCTGAGACAACGACATGTGAGGATGTACGGGCAGGCTGAGCGGCAATCGGATCTACCTCAACAGCCTGTTGACATCTAGCTGGCATCGGTTGTGCATGAGTGTCATGGTCATGTGGTGTGGGTGTCATGTGTTGGTGATTTTCTTTGGGTGTGATTTCATCCTCGCATGCATGCTTCATCCGGATTGGCCTTGTTCCTACATTCTGGACCTGTGGACCTGCCTTGACACTTTCGGTGACCATCATCTCCTGAGTTGACGAACGATCTGACCTTCTTTTCTCGGTCTCATCGGTCACGAAAGTCTCGGCAAGTTCTGTCGTGCTGTCTGGCAAAGGGCTGGGCGTCTTGTCCATGGCTGCTCGGGTTAGTGCATTCATGTCCATGAGAAACAATCCCTTTGCGGTGAGATGCAATGGAACTGGTTGTTTCAGCAGCTTGCTGGACAAAACTTGTTGGGCACAATCTATCTTCGCTGACATCGTCCGCATCAGAGTGTTGCTGATGAGAAACGGAGTTCCCCCTTTTACTATGGCCACCTTTAATTTGAGATACCCAATTGGAATAACTAAGGCCTGTTGGCTAGTTAATGTGGCTTGGTTCCCAAACTTAAACGTGATATTGCAGGGGCATCGAGTCAGCTGACGGCGGATATCGGGATCGAGGCTCTGAATTAGTTCGGCAACATTGTCACTGCCGATGACAGTTTTGGAAGCACCGAGATCTAATATACCATACGACCCATGAGACGCGAAGCATGCTTGGTCAACTTCAGTTCTTGCAGTAGCTTTCTGGCTAAGTTCCAGTGATTCTCCGTTCGGTGGCATTCCATGGACATGCTTTTGATGTCCTGGCGGCGGGCAAATGGGATCATTTCTTCCCCTGTTCAACTTGGCTTTCAGCATTGGGCTCAGCTTTGCGGCAGTTTGGAGGCTACGGCATTGCTCATTCTTCCTGAAACCCCAGGCTTGGAGTCTTTGACGGGCAGTGGTCTTACAACCCTGACTATGCCTATCCCCATTATATGATTCCCCTTGAATACACCCAGAGTTATAGGCATGTCCCCACTGATTATCCATCAAAACGTTCATCAAAACTGGCAAAGTTTCGTCTATCGAACCATGGTGAAGGTTTGGCAAGTCCAGGAACTCTAAGGGCAAAATGTCCTCAGGCTGAGACACGGTCACCGTGGTGGTGGGCATACTGCTGGCTGTGGATGCGGCTGCATGGGATCCTCCGGATGAGGGATTGTTGCTCTGCCGGTAAGGGCATTCCGCCTTCCAGTGGCCCTTGCGGTTGCAATTTCGGCACACACTGTTCAGAATTCTATCCTGAAGGCTTCGCTTTGGTCTTTGAGGAAAAAAACCTTTGCCCTTGGCATTCCCTTTTCCAGAAAAGCCCTTGCCCTTGGTGAACTGACTGCTACTTTTGCTGCTAGTACTCCAGAACCCTCTATTGCGAAACTTCTCTGACAGGCGTTTTCTGGCCTCCATGTAGGCACTGTACGCCGAGGCAAGTTCTGGATCATCCTGTACAACTTCCGAAGCAGCTGATTCGAAGTCTGCCACCAACGTCGCATCTTCATCTCCTTCGTTGAGGAGACACTCAACGTACTCATCCTCTCCTTGTTCATCAAAGGCATTGAAAGTTGGCTCAAGTTCTTCATCCTCGGCCAACATGGTTGCAGAACTGTACACTTTTGTTTTCTGACCTGCTTTGACACCTGTCATCTCCTGGAAAAACGTTGCTCCCAGAAGTCGAACTGCATCGGACACCTTCCGGACTGTGAGTTTCCCTTCCAGACTGTTGTCAGATTCCAGGATTACTCGTTTCTTGTCATCTGGGGTTAAACTGGATCCCCGCAGTAGGATGAAGGCCTGAAGATCCTCTATGCTCAGTTTCTGGGCACGAAGCTTGCTCCATGCTACATCTGCTCGAGCTAAAAAGGAGTCGTTGCTCTCGTCCTTTAGCTGGGCTGTATGAAACAAAGCTTGTTCCGCCTCCTCATACTGTTTCTCCAATCCAATGCGGCCCCAATGGCCACCCAGAATTTCCACCAGTCGGTGTACTGCCTTTTCGTCGTTTTCCAGTAACTCATCCTTGTGTATCTGTAACTTATCAAAAGCAGACCCTTGACAGTTCAGGATGAGTCGCATCACCAGTTCAGTCACACGTGTTTTGGGCCATGCGGCCAAGACAAGCTCCACCTTCTGCTGATAGACACGCAAATTGTCCTTGGATGGATCGAACGTGGGGACTAATGTGGACAACTGATGTCCAACTCCGGTTACGCCCCCTGCGCCGTCACCATCAGAAGCTGCGGCCATCTCCAAAGTTCCCCTGGATGCTCTTCGGCAAAATCACAGGCTTTCTTCAGATGATAGTCGGAGCCGAGGGCTCCGCTACCAATGTAAATGGTAGGGAGCCAGTTTCAACTGAAGATCCTAAGGCAAACTCCAATGTTATGGAATGAAGTTCCAAGATACCCAATCTGTAACCACACACCTCACTGGATCTCGCAATCTTCTGTTTTGGCACTGCTGCAGCAAGTCTCGCGACTGCGAACGAATGGACGGCCACGTCCAGAGCTGATAGGCACCCGGTGCCTTTCCCAAGCCGCACCAAATGGCACAAGGCAAGTGATCCCGCACCCACCCTCGACCAGGCTGCCAAGCCTAAATGACTGTGGCACATGCATGTGGTCCATGTGAGACCTGACATCGGAGTGGCACTGGAAACACCTGGTTCTCATGAATGCAAATCACAATATATATGTATATATATATTATATAAATATGTATATATATGGTCCATATCCCATTAGCCATGGCCCATCTCTAATAGGTGATGCCTAGTCTGTTAGGCAACTTGGCTTAGTTCACTAAGATTTATGTTAGATCTATTCGTGTAGCTAATGGGGTTTAAGTAGCAAACACAACTGGGGGACTGGGGGGCACCAATTTATAATGTACAACCCATCTATAGAAGTATATATAGATGCATCTACCATAAATCCTTCGTAACTTCCTCATAAACAAACTTAGCTAAGTGAGGGGCACCATGTTGTACACTCAACCATTTTGGCTTTACAACGTCACAGAACATCTTGCAAGACCTTTGCCCTTCTCAGCCACCTGCGCCAGCAGCGACTTCCGACCTCGTTCGGCAAAGTCCGCGGCTCCAAAAAGGGCAGTTGAACAGCGGCGACCAAAGCATCCAAAGCTCTTGTTGATCGGTCATTAATAGGGGCTGCATGGAGGCATTAATAGGGGTTATTGTTATCATTATAGGATATGATAGGGGATTCTTAATCATCTGCTTTATATAGATTTTTTTTGGGGGGATTCTGACCTGACCCATTATGGGAACCTCTAGCAAACCAGTTGAAGAAACTTCGTAATTTCTCAGCATAGCTGTCCTGAAAATCTGGAAGCTACCCAGCGGTTGACCTCCTGATTTTTTTGTGTTTTTGGCATTTGGAAAGCTCACAGAAAAGACTGCAGAGCCTTTTAGGGAAAGCTGAGCTCTGAGATTCTCCGAGATTCTCGGAGATTCACGGAATCCGGTGCCAGCCTCTGGATTTTTTGGGTAGATCAGCCAATGGTCAGGATGTCGACTGCGAAACGTGGGGGTGCTCAGGTTGAGCTACAAGGTGGGTGGAATGAAAGAGGCGAATCTCTGATTCTGAATCGGCGAAGCTGAAAATGGCTTGGGGCTTCCAAGATGATGCAATCAAACTGCAATCAAACATGGCTTACAGGACAATTTTCAACATTTAGTTCGATGATTTTGCCATTCAAGTTCCGATTTATAGGGGATTTCCTTGCCACTTTCGATTGGAATTGAGCGGGGGAACTGTCCCGCCTCAACGTGAGGATGTTCCATGGTTTTACTGGCAAAACACAGACATATATAATAATATACGTGTATATACTGATATATATATATGAGAACTGGCATGGAAACCAAAGATGGCCCTTTCACAAGGTTTTTGTTTCTTGAACGAACTGAAGTACGCAACGAACAGTATATGCCAAAGTCATGTTCATGGTCTTCAGGCAAGGTAAGAAGCGTGGAAATTCTCCACCGGTTCACTCACGTATGTTTTACATTTTCCCCTACACGTTTTCTATACAAATATGTGTCGCAAGGCAAGGCAACTTTTTCCACCATCGCTGCATTGCGCAGAAAAACACAAGGTGGATTTGGAGCACAGGCCGCGCCTGATGCCTGTGCCCATGCCGACATCTCCAGGTTCAATAACTACTTCCTGGAATCATATCCAGCGTGTTGCCTCAGTTGGATGGGTGCCAGAGGATATACCATCTAGTTATGACTACAGTTCGCCATGGAAAATCACCGAATTTTCAAGTTCGGTAAACCATCTATTTCGATTAGGGCCATCGTAATAACCATGGCGAACTGTTAGTCAGAACCATGGGAATTTAAGCCCCCAGAAGTTGGGACATGGCCCTAGATATATCATGATATATCCACTGAAGTAGCCGGGCCCCAGGGCACTTCGAAGTGATGAAATCAGGACGTCCTGTCATTCACAATCCTCACAGACCATGATTCATGGCTGGTGGCGACAATAAAAAATTGAGCATTCTGCGTCTTAGTAACCAGTGGTTCATCACATCCAAGCGGACATCTTACTTGGTGGTTCATCCCACGAATCGTAAGTGGGTTATAACCCCAGTTATAAATGGGATAAGTAGGGTTAATCCACTAGAACTGGGGTTGTAACCCACTTACGAGCCGTGGGATGAACCACCAAGTAGTTACTGCAATTTCGATGGAGACCCTGTTGAGGAGTTGGCCCCCGGCTTATTTGGAATCAATGATATGCCGCATAAGTCCATCGCTGTCTGAAGAGATGAACTGGATATACCCTCTGGTAAACATACAGAAAGCTATTGAAAATGGCCATTTATAGGGGATTTGCCTATTAAGAATGGTGATTTTCCATAGTCCTGTGATTTTACCAGAGGGTATATCTCCAAGAGCAGCAATACCGAAGGTGGTTGACCCTACAGGCCCTACAGCAATTTTTTTGTGCGATGTCCCGTCTACCTGTCTTCATGGTTTAGCAAGGGATCATACCACTGTGCTTCATGGGGACAAAGGATGGCGAAGTTTTCGTGCACCAGCAATTTTTTTTTTCATGGCCGGCATCCCTTTTGCTGATCAAGGATTCAATTTTCATCACTTGCTTGGTGGCTCATCCCACTTAGTAAGTGGGTTATAACCCCAGTGATTTACATGGGATTTTTGGAGCGGCTTAATCCACTCAAAAAACTGGGTAGTTCACTAACCCACAACCTAACTCGCCATTCGTGTAGTTCGCCACCAA